AGAAAAAGTGGCAACAGACATAAAAAAAAAAAAAAAAAAAAAAACACATCATAGTAAAATTAATACCTTCTCCGCTTCGCATCGAAGCTAAAAACTAAAAAACACGCTTTTAAAGCACATTGAACTAAAAAGTTCAAAATAATTTTTAAAATAGGCTTAAAACAATATTGAACGAAAAGTACTAGAATTATTGTGATAAAAGCGTGGGTGCTTCGTGCCATATTTTTCGTATATTGAGCGCCTGATGCTTTTTTCACAATAATACTAGTATTTTTTATTCATAATTATTTTAAGCGTATTTTAAAAATTATTTTAAACTTTTTAGTTCAATGTGCTTTAAAAGCGTGTTTTTTTAATTTTTTTAAACTATATTTATTTAAATTAAACACTATCTAAAGTTTTGAATCGATGCGTTTTTTATAATAGTGATTTTAATCATTGTCAGATATTATCTATACTTGTCCCAACTATGCCAGATCACATCTATGCCGCAATCCCGAAAAATAAATATAGACAATTGTTTGATTAGGATTTTTCAATGAGGATAACTATATCCAAATACTTTTACCTATAAATAATTATATTATTGAGCAAGAGGAGGAGTAGAGAATTTATTTAATGATAAAAAAAGTTATAAGCATTTCTTCACCATAGCCTATATTTTTAAGTGGTAAAATATTTTGCAATAGTACTTCAAAATTTGATATAAACCAATAATTTTCTAAATATTTATATTTTGATTAAAAATATTTATATATGAACAAAGAATGGACCTATAAATTATTTAGTATACCTTGAATTTACAAATATAGACATCTAACTAAAAGACTAAAAATAATTTCTCATTATCATTTTGATTTTATAAGTAACTGAGTCGTTCATAGTAAATGAATTCCTCTGTATATACCTGGTGTTACAAAATAAAACATTAAAGGAGAATACAGAAGTGATAATTTATCATAATCAGTAGCTTCCAATTCTTGTTTCTTATTTTAGACTTTGTGACTCCTTAATTATACAGAGTGATCAAAATTTAGTAAAAAACTTATTTTCTCACACACTATTGAGAATTTTTAATTTTTGTAAAGGATAAAATATGACGTCCAAAAAAGTCTAAAAGTCAATAATATGTATTTAATACATTTTTTTTTTCATAAAAAATTTATTTAAATAAATGAGTGTATTCATTCCGATTACGAGGGATGATTTCCGTATCGTCATTTTTCGTCACTACCTCCGCGTTCCGGGAGTGAGTAATTTGCGCGCCTGCTGCTTTCCTTGTATGTGGTAGCCGTTTCTCTGAAATGTTCATAAAAATCCTTAACTATAATTTTCTTAATTAGGGAACTTTATTTTTAACTAGATAATATAAAAAAAAAAATACAAATTATTACAAAAATTGTATATCAGCCGCACATTACATTAAAAATTTATATGAACGTGTATCAGGATCATAATTGCACAGTAACCTAGTGACATGGTTTATCTCTACTACGCTTTAGGTCATAAGTTTTAATCATGTACCGTGCCTTTCTTTTTCACAAATTCAGGTATTTTTCTATGTTCAGTCATCAATATTTGGTGTGGTCTTTTTACAATTTTGTTCTTATTACTTTTTTTTGACTGATCAATCATTTATGATTTCAAGTAAAAATTTATTATTGATTTGTTTTTATAATACCGATGGCAACAATAATCTATTTTGATAGTCCATAAATTATTTATTATAGTAACAAGAAAAATTTTCTACACCAGTTGATCAACAATGTTTATTATTTTAGTCAATAAAAATTGGTTTACAAAAAATTTAAAAAAATTTTATGGGTTATATAAAAATTATTTGTTGAAGGGGAAAAATTAAATTTACCCCTATTCTTCTAAAAAATTGATCACCATATACCTATGAAAATAACAGTTAAGGATTTTTATCCTTAAAAGGATAATAAAAAATGATTTAATTACAAATTATTGTTGAGTTTTTTGAACTTAATATTTTCCCTGTACAAAAATTTAAAATATTTAATAGTTTTTGAGAAAACGATTGTCTTATCTAATTATTATCTCTTTTTATAGATAAAATTTGGTTATATAGTTACTTTTAACACAACTTTTTAATTCAATTACAATTGATTTACTTTTCCTACATATTTTGGGAGTTACACCTCCAAATGACTACTTATAATTAAAAGCTTTATTAGTTAACTTTTTGTATTTTGTGTTAAATTGCTTTTCTATATTTAATTAATTTGATCATTTTTCTTAAGTATTTGATTGGTGTCAAAAATATCACTTTGAATTGGTTGTTTTGGAAGAAGATGCCATTGAATTGGATATTGTTGGTATTGAGCGTGTGAGACAAGCTCTATATGCTCATTACTGGCCAAATCTTAAAGCAAAATGCAAGTCATCTTTTCTTATTTAATTATTATTATTAGTTAAAATTAAAAATAATGAAAATACTTTCATAATAAAGATAATTTTTTTTTGTATGGATAAGGTATTAAATTTTTTTTATCTTCTATGGAGCAATATTCTAGCTACCCAGCTGCAAGATAAATAAAATTTTAATTAAAAAATATGTTTTTCATATACAGTAATTAAAAATTTAAAATTTAATATAAATATTTCTTCAATTTTAAATAAAATATTGTAATTCTATTTCAATATTTTTAGGGGGATATATCAAAATAATGATTTACTTTTAATTTTATCAATGTTGATTATATAAAAATTTATCCATTATGACCCACCCTTACTTAATGTATAACTGTAGTTATATATATATATATATATATTTACATATCTATAGATAAGTACAAAATAGTAATAAGAGCATCTGAATTCAGGTTTTATCACAGGTATTATGGATTTTAATTGCTGCAATTTGATCCTTTCACAAAAAAGCAGTATTGGGTAGTATATGAATTTAAAAAATTATAGTTTCAATGTGAAACTAAAAAGTTATTATTAATTTTATTATAATGTGATTATTTAACACTATTTGATATGATTTATTTCAAGTTATTAATTAACGAAATTATGAGAAATTTTAAAGGATTTTAATATTTAACTATTAAAGAAATTAAAAATTCATAAATAAAATGTCTAATGTCTTTTTTTCTATTTATATGTCTATGTATATTTTTACTTTTTAAAATGTTTTATTGGTGCTGTGATATATTATTATAAAAATGTTTATTTTATTTTATTGATACTGCTAATTATTACTTATTTATAAAGGTGATATCACCCATCCTAGCACAAAATCGATTATCGAAGGTAGTGTTGTCAACTGTGCTCTTAGTGAAGAGTTGTCAGATTTAAAAATGGATGAGGCAGAAGATACTGAACTCGATAGTAACTTATTTAGTAAGGAATAAAAGATTATGTTTCTTTAATTCAAAAATAATTTAATTGTAAGTTTTTTTAAGCAAGGAAATTAAAATACTATGTTACTGTGATTAGACAAAATTTTATTAAAAATAGGTTTTCTGCTCTATGTCTATCTGACATAATTAATATATTATTAAATATTATTTTGGATAATGTGATTTGTACATTTAAATATCAATTTTGAATATTGTAATGATTGATTATCAAAATAAAATATTGTTTGAGAAGCATAGGATTCAAGTGTTTCTAATTAATAATAATCTCAAAAAAGAAGTAATAGAAAAAATCTAATTTCAGAATTAAAATCGGCATAAAAAATTGGTTTAAGGGGGTTGTCCTAGTAAGGAGAAATAAAAGTTTTGGTCCCAACAAATTTTTCTTGTTCTTCTCATTGGTGGTGTCTGATCTCTAGTACAAACCAATCATAATATTTTGTTCATCAGTAGCCTAGCCAATGAACCATCTCCAACTCCCTAACAAAAAAAACTTAAAGCATTGCTATGCAAGTTAAAAATATAGTTCTTGTGTCTCTTGCAATGTGAGCGTCTCATTTATGACTAGGTATTCTATTTTTTGTTATTAAATTTCAAACTTTTTTTTTTACAATTACCTAAATGTTTAGGATTTTAGGTAAAATATTATATTTTTTTAGGTGAAATGTTTGAAGGTGATATTAATTTTTTTCAAACTTTCGACAAAGTTAGAAAATTAAAAGAACAAATATCTGCTATGCCTGATGAAGAAAGAAAAGATGCTGCTGAAAAAGCATTAACTGAATGCTGGAAAGCCTTTTTTGGTGAAGATGTTGATTTATAAGCTACCATTTCATATTATTATTATTAATAGTACTCTAAAAATATATTATGAAATAAATAAGATTTTAATGTTTGTATAAATAGTTTAAATTAAAAATTAATTCAATAGTTATAAGAGAGTATTTATTGTATTATTTAAATTTATAAATATAAATTATTTATCTAATCTACAAATTGGATTAATTTGAACCATCTGCAAATTTACTTTAGGTCCAACCAAGTCTCTTATATTATTAATACCATATTTAATCATAGTAGGTCTTTCTAATGACAGTCCCCATGCAATTACATTGACTTTTTCAGGTAAACCCATGGGTAAAAGCATCTCTGGTCGAAACATACCAGAATTCCCAATTTCAATCCATTTTCCTAATCCTTTATGGTAACAAAATATTTCCATACTTGGTTCTGTGTATGGGTTGTATGCAGGTTTAAACTTAAGTTCTGTCATACCTAATCGTTCGAAAAACATGTATAAAATGCCAATAAGATCCCCTAACGTTAAATTGTAATCTGCAATTACACCTTCAACTTGATGAAACTCTGCTAGATGAGTTGCATCCAATGTTTCATTTCTAAAAACTCTATCAATGCTAAAGTATTTAGATGGCTTGAAATTGTTTGCCAAACTGTATAACATTCGAGCACTTACAGCAGTAGTATGGGTTCTTAATACATTTTTTTTTGCTTCTTCTATAGACCAATTGTATCCATATCCTTGAGAACCATAACCACCTTTAGAATGTACATCCTTTACTTTATTCAAATAACAATTAGGAAAATTTTCACTAGATTTAGGTTCATCAAGGAAAAATGTATCATGTGAATCTCTTGCTGGATGTTGTTGAGGTTGAAATAATGAATCAAAATTCCAAAAAGAACTTTCAACAAAATTATTGGTAGGCATTTCAGTAAAACCCATTTCAAGAAATATTTGGCGAATATCAGCGCGTACTTTTAGTAGTGGATGTAAACAACCAAAATCTAGAGTTTGGCCAAGAGCTTCAAAATTGTAAGATTTAAATTGAGTGGTTTTCCAAGAACCCGATTGTATCATATCAGGTGTAAGTTCAGTTTCTAATTTTGTGATAGTAGTAGTAAATTCTGGACCCTTTTCTGAAAAAGAGTTACATAATAAATTATACCACTTTTAAACTAATTCACAAACATAATTATAAAGGAGCTATGGGTATCATATCTTACACGACAAGAATAATTATATGGTGAAGATAAAATTTTTTTTTATTTTGGAAAAGGAAATGAAAAATTGTTTTATGTATATCCCCACTAAGGCAAAACCTTTATTCAACTACTGAACTAATTTATAAATTACTCACTTAAATCAAAACTTTTTATAATAACTTCACGTATAAGTTTTCTTTTTTTATAATCCTGTTTAGCTGAATCGGCTATTTCATCACTACTAATTTTAAGTTTAGCCAAATCATCTTTAACTTGATCAATAATAGAACTTGTTTTTCTAACAACTTTATTAATTGAGCGATCTATACTTATCCATCCTTTAGACATTGCTTGACTAAACCCTATTTTAGCATGTGGTAGAGACATAAGATCTTTTTGAGGTATACCATCAGGCGGAATATATTTAAATACATTTGCTTCATAACTGCCATTCAATAAAATTGATTCTCCTTCAGAAGTAAGTTCCCAACATTTATTTGTAACTGGCACAGCTGTAATAATATTACTATTCAATGCCAAAATGCTATTAACAATTCCTATCACTTTTTGATGGTCAATTTTATTTTCTACAGCTAAATCTAATGTATTTGTTCTATTTTTAACATTTAGCTGATTCAATAACTCTTCTGAATCCATCTTAAAAAAAAAAATTATATTTTGAACTCACAAAATGAAAATAATTGAAAGAAAATTTATTTTAAATTGANACAGCTAAATCTAATGTATTTGTTCTATTTTTAACATTTAGCTGATTCAATAACTCTTCTGAATCCATCTTAAAAAAAAAAAATTATATTTTGAACTCACAAAATGAAAATAATTGAAAGAAAATTTATTTTAAATTGACAAGTATACAAGTTACGTATTAATATTAAGTTCTTAAAGATGACATAACAAACTTTTCCTGAAAGTTTTGAATACGTCGGCTTAGCACTTATCAGTTACTCATTGAAAATGTCGTAGTTATGGTAGTTTGGAATAATAAGCTTATGTAAATCATATATTCGTAGTAATGACTTTTCGTAGTAATAGCTTTATCACAAAATACAATTAACATTAGTGTACAAATCATGTTTTTTATACAATTTTATCATAGGTAATGAGCATTAATAAATATAGTTAAAAAAAACTAAAAAACACACTTTTAAAGCACATCGAACTAAAAAGTTTAAAATAATTTTTAAAATACGCTTAAAATAATTATGAATAAAAAATACTAGTATTATTGTGAAAAAAGCATCAGGCGCTCAATATACGAAAAATATGGCACGAAGCACCTACGCTTTTATCACAATAATACTAGTATTTTTTGTTCATAATTATTTTAAACTTTTTAGTTCAATGTGCTTTAAAAGCGTGTTTTTTAGTTTTTTTAAACTATATTTATTTTTCACTTTTTAGTTTCATGTTATGATAGTAGTTACTATCAATATCTTGGTTGTTACGGGTAACAGGATATCAGAGTTCGATTCCGGAGAGGGAGTCAGAGAAACGGCTACCACATCCAAGCAAAGCAGCAGGCGCGCATATTACTCATTCCTGGAATGCGGAGGTAGCGACGAAAAATGACGATACGGAAATCATCCCTCGTAATCTGAATGAATACACTATATATCTCTTAATTAGAATAAAGTGTGTTAATATATAAATTTTAATAGTAATTAGAATATATATATATATACAATTAAAGCGACTTAAGTACGTAAACGTATCATGCAATAGGTATAGCCGTGTTTTGTTGGCTGCCGGGTCGGACTAATGTTATACCTGATGTATAAACGGCGGTAGGAATATATACNATGTATGTACGGCGGTAGGAATATATACGTAAACCGTATGACACGCGGATGGTATTGGTCAGTCAAAATAAAAATTTGTTTATATATATATAATATTGATGACACGCACGCGTGTAAGGGTACGATAACCAAAAATAAATTCATACAGGAATAGTGTTGTCGTCGATAGGTGAGCGAGGCGTGGGGTGGGGTGAATGCGTTATGACAATCTAGTCTAGACGACGGAATATGCGATAACGCGTGGCGTTTGGAGAGTTACAAACATATATCCATTCATACATACATACATAAATACAGGTGAAACTAATATAAGCGTGTTAAAAAAAGATCTTCAAAATAAATTCGTAGGCTTTCTATTTTTTATATGTCAGAAGCCCAGAGCTTATAGTTTTTAATCTATAATTAGTTCTACCTACGTAACTTGAAATTTTTGTACCATTGAGTAGAAACCGCTCAGTTCAATTACATATTATTTATATTATAAATTGTATAATTGTATAAGTCGTGGTGTATTTAAGGGGGACAAAGGGAGCAAATTGTAATGGATATATCTTAAGAGTAACTTACCTCTTATTTTTTTAATAAAAAAACATCTTTTCATTAATGGCGTAATTATAGGGTCACACTTGTAATCCCTTACATTTTGTGAGTCGTACAAAACGTAAGGGTCTCAAAAGTACACTTGTGCGTATATTTTACTATTACCGATTAATTTTTTGTAAGTTCATACATATACTTCCTGAGCAAAAGATAATTGACATCTATGCTGAACCGCATTCTATATGAATACATATAGTCTCTTTATAAATTCTGTGGCTGTACTAAGATCTTTGTATAGAGATAAGATAGATTTCTCTCATAACTACCAACTAAAATAAACTGAACTGAACAAGAAGCCTTATCAAACGATCCGGTTTTGTAACAAATATGGATAATAAATATTATCCTTTTCAGTGAGTTATGTTATACAATTGCCGTAGAAGGAGGAATTATGAAGAAGCTATTACTTTATTTATAGTTTTACGATTTCACTATTTTAAAAATGTTGTATTCTGAAAACATGTACGTCGCTAGAGCTCACTGTTGGTCTAATATTCCTCCTACGAAAATATTGTAAAACAACGGGATCGTACTTCCCATTTCCGCCAACTATGTCGTGTTAAGTAGTGATGCAACATATTATCAATCTTGATAACTGTTATTACTTTAAAAATAACAGTTACTGTTATTTCCTCAATAAATTGCTATCTTTGTATAAAACTCTTGATAATAATGATATAACTGTTTTATATGTTAAATAAAATTGTTAATAAAATAAAATAAATATTTAATGTATAAATGACTAACATTAAATATTTATAAACAATTTAAATGTAAACTCTTTTATATCCGACTTGAACAATCTTTTAGGGAAATGATGATTTTTGGAAGTAAACACTCCATGTAAAACCTACTAAAATATTAATGATTGTAACGCGTGTTTCACAAAATGCACAAAACGTAGTAAAGTTTGAATTTTAAAATATACTAATTACAACACAATAGTTAGAAATTATAACTTTCAGTAAAACGTTATAATGCACAATGAAGCCAGAAATAAGAGTTCACTAAATGAATTACTTGGTCAGTATAAAATGTCTATTACCAAGAAATAATTTGCATAAACGCATTTGTTTACACCGATTACCAAACAAACGGATATAGAAATCGTAAAATAAACGTCATTTCACATTTATCAAAAAATCACTTTATCATATATCATTTTTCTATCATTTCGTTAAAATCCAATTTTCAAAGAAAAATTAATTATGACAAAACTTTAATTAAATTAGGCGTGAAAACCCTCCTGTATGCAAAAAATGGAAATTGAAAATGTTTATCCCTTAGAAAAAAAAACGGTAGCACAGTGGGGTTGCAGCACAGTATGGATGTGATATGGTCGGGACAAGTATAAATATTTGATACTGATTAAAATCACTATTATAAAAAACGCTTTGATGCAAATCTTTAGATAGTGTATAATCTTAAAAAATTGGTGGATTATTACAAAAGCTACGTGATCTGCTATTTCTTTATTCATATCCCTATTAAGATAATGTATATCGAATGAAAGAGGGATATAAATATTATTTCTCATAAAAAAAATGTATTTATCTATACTCTTTTCAATAAGTTAAAGCATTATAAAGTTAAAAATGTAAAAAATAAAATCCAGAATTTTCACACAACATAAGCATTTGTTAACTATTTTCACCGTGAAGACAAAATAAAGTCCAAAATTTTTTTTTTTCCAAAATAATGTATATTACATTAGCTTTAATTTAAAATATATATAAAAGTGTCAGACTTTCCAGAACACTTTCAAAAGTTAAATGTAAAAGTTGTCATATTAAATCCCCCACTGTGGGCAAGTAAAGGGTCAGATTTATAAAAAAAAAATACCAAATAAAAGGCAAATACATCATGCGTCTATCAAAAAATCTTTCAAAAAAGTCTATCTTCTGCATGCAAACGGCTGTCGTAGTTAAAAAACTCTATTTTTAACACGCTTATATTAGTTTTACATGTATGTATGTATGTATGTATGTATGTATGTATGTATGTATGTATGTATGTATGTATGTATGTATGTATGTATGTATGTATGTATGTATGTATGTAACTCTCCAAACGCCACGCGTTATCGCATATTCCGTCGTCTAGACTAGACTGTCATAACGCATTCAACCCACCCCACGCCTCGCTTACCTCGCGACGATANTATTTATAAACAATTTAAATGTAAACTCTTTTATATCCGACTTGAACAATCTTTTAGGGAAATGATGATTTTTGGAAGTAAACACTCCATGTAAAACCTACTAAAATATTAATGATTGTAACGCGTGTTTCACAAAATGCACAAAACGTAGTAAAGTTTGTTAGTAGTAAACGGATTGTTTATTATCAATTATGACTATCAATAGATATACATTCTGTATTGTCAGTTAGTGTATTTATAAACTCACAACAATGTGTCTTACTACCATTGATAATAACAATGCTTTGTACCTGCTAATATCGATGTCATAAAAAACCAATTAGCTACCTGTAATTTTAATCCCTAGTGTATTATACATGTATATTAACTCAAAAAATTGAAACTATAAATGTTTATATCTAATAAACGAATAAAGTTATATTAAAAATTCAAATGCCATTTACTATTGAATTGAAAACTCAAACATTTTATTAAATTCAAAATATGTGTTACCTTTTAAAAAAACAAAGTTGACACCCTTACCAGGCATAAGGGATGAACTTAAAAAGTATTACATAGTTAATAANGTGTTACCATTTAAAAAAACAAAGTTGACACCCTTACCAGGCATAAGGGATGAACTTAAAAAGTATTACATAGTTAATAATTCAAGAATAATGTGTAACTAAAGATAGTAATAAAAAAAAAATTTTAAATTATTATTATTCTGTAAGTAATTGAGTGGGTTATGATAAAAAAATCACCCTGTATAGTGTATTCATTCAGATTACGAGAGATGATTTCCGTATCGTCATTTTTCGTCACTACCCCCACGTTTCGGGAGTGAGTAATTTACGCATCTGCTGCTTTCCTTGGATGTGGTAGCCGTTTCTCAGACACCCTCCCCGGAATCGAACCCTGATTTCCCGTTACCCGTTACAACCATGATATTGATAGCAACTACTGTCATAACATGAAACTAAAAAGTGAAAAATAAATATAGTTTAAAAAAACTAAAAAACACGCTTTTAAAGCACATCGAACTAAAAAGTTAAAAATAATTTTTAAAATAATTATGAACAAAAAATACTAGTATTATTGTGATAAAAGCGTGGGTGCTTTGTGCCATATTTTTCGTATATTGAGCGCCCGATGCTTTTATCACAATAATACTAGTATTTTTTGTTCATAATTATTTTAAAAATTATTTTTAACTTTTTAGTTCGATGTGCTTTAAAAGCGTGTTTTTTTAGTTTTTTTAAACTATATTTATTATTTAATGATGGAGTAGAGCTGCCAACGACGAACGGCTAGGTCTTTTCGGCAAAGCATCCAGACCATCGGATGGGTATCTTCGGAGACCACGTATCGTTTTCTTTTATATATTATATTTATGTAAGGAGCTATATTTTATTTCATTTTTATTATACCGTAAATTAACTTAATTTTGTTT